GCAGTCGCCAGTTCTCAGCTTCCAGCTCCACAGATTCCTCCGCGTACCAAAGTTGTACTACAAAGTCACCAGTTCTGAGCTTCCAGCTCCCCAGCTACTCCGCGTACTACAGTTGTACTACAAAGTCACCAGTGCTCATCTCCCAGCTCCCCAGATACTCCACACCTCTCGCCTGCATTTCGCCACTCGACGCGCACGGTCTCCGCAGAGGGTTGCGCAGGCATCCGCCAAATCGCACTCTCGCCTGTATTTCGCGCACTCGACATGCACGATCTCCGCAGAGGGTTGCTGCGCGGACACCCGGCGAATCGCACTCTCGCCTGCATTTCGCGCACTCGACACGCACGATCTCCGCAGAGGGTTGCGCGGGCAGCCGGCAAATCGCACTCTCGCCTGCATTTCGCGCACTCGACACGCGCGATCTCCGCAGAGGGTTGCGCGCACAGCCGGCAAATTGCACTCTCGCCTGCATTTCGCGCACTCGACACGCCCGATCTCCGCAGAGGGTTGCGCGCACACCCGGCAAATCGCACTCTCGCCTGCACTTCGCGCACTCGACACGCACGATCTCCGCAGAGGGTTGCGCGCGCAGCCGGCGAATCGCACTCTCGCCTGCATTTCGCGCACTCGACACGCACGATCTCCGCAGAGGGTTGCGCGCACACCGGACAAATCGCACTCTCGCCTGCATTTCGCGCACTCGACGCGCACGATCTCCGCAGAGGGTTGCACTTTCTGTTGACGCTGTTCGTCCCGCACTCCGCCTTTAAGAGAGAATTATAAAGTGGGGAAATGTTTTTTCATTAGGACATCTCCCGTGCTAGTTTTCCATACTCACACTTGCCTACTCATTGCATGCCTGTAGACTCATTGCGTGCTTGCATACTCACCCTTGCATATCATGCTTGCATACTTACCCTTGCATATCATGCTTGCATACTTACACTTGCATACTTTGACACTGGCATACTTCGCACTTGGATGCTTTCGCTCTTCCAGTGTGTGTGTGTAAGTGTAAGTGTCGAAGTGTAAGTGTTCAAAGGATTTTCCGGAAGAACCCTTCGCAAGGCTTTCGGGAAAAAAGAGCTGCAGGCCGAGGTGGCAGGTTCCAGAGGCTCAGTTCTAAGGCCGCAGTGCATGGGCTGCACGTTCCAGAGGCTCCCTCCCCAGACCCCCGCCTGACGCAAAGGCTGCGGTGCAGGAGTAGGCCAAAAGTGCGCTTGGGGCCTAAGCCAAAGGTGCCGGGAAGGGTTTGAAGGTGCCGGGAAGGCGCCTGGCGCGTTGCCTTCGGGACGCTAAAGAAAAGAGGCGCAGGCCGAGGTGGCAGGTTCCAGAGGCTCAGTTCCAAGGCTGTAGTCCAAAGGCTGCGCGTTCCAGAGGCTCCCTCCCAAGGCTCCCGCCTGACGCAGGCAAGGCTGCAGTGCAGGAGTAGGCAGCGGAGCCACGGCAAAACGCTCTGGATCTGCTTGGCCTCGGCCACTAGAAAAAAAGGATTTGGCGCGCCAGAGCCCCGAGCCCACAGCCTGCGCAACTCCGCCCACAGTCTCGCAGAGCCCAGAGCCCACAGTCTGGCAAGTGCGAGGTTTTGGAGCGTCTGAAGCGTCCAGAATCCAGAGGCTGGCTGCTCCGGCGCGCCAGCGCCCCGAGCCCACAGCCTGCGCAACTCCAAAAGTATTTGGCGCGCCAGAGCCCCGAACCCACAATCTGCGCAACTCCGCCCACAGGCTCGCAGAGCCCAGAGCCCACAGTCTGGCAAGTGCGAGGTTTTGGAGCGTCTGAAGCATCCATGGAGCGTCTGAAGCGTCCAGAATCCAGACGTATGGCACAACCATTGGCAAGTGTCGGAGCGTTTGAGGGGTTTGAGGGGTTTGAGGCGTTTGAAGGGCAGTTTCGGGCCACTAGAAA